AGGCATTTTATGACTGGGCTACCACAGGTATCCCAGTAAAAACAAAGGTATTCTATGACTGGGCAACCACAGGTATCCCAGTAATAATTTCAGCATCAGAATCTTTATTTTGATCAACATGTTTCGTTGTGGCAATTCCCTTTCTAATAACATAGCGTGGTGAACAGCTCAATTTTTCGCTGTTTGTTCAAGTGCGAAATATACAACTTTGTCTAGACAAACTGTCGTGCTTCTTCATTAACAGTCATAGAAAATCCGTACTGTCAAGCACCGACTTTAATTTGTACGCGTGAGAGGGCTATACAAACGACATTAAACAGGATTCGGCGGAAAATAAATCTTAATTAAGAGTAGTATGTACGTGCAGAAACATAAACACGGTAACGTGACGGTGTGTACTTGCATGTTTCACGCTTGAACGAATGCGTAGAAAGCTGAATGCTCTAAACAAAAATACTCCCTGTAGCACGCTTCAAATTTCGAAACTTTGTACTCGTGTACGTTTCCAAAAAGCTTTTAAAACATTTCTTGGTTACTCTATTGTCTGATACGAAATGTTCATCATAACATGACAGCGACTTTAACTTCAGTTGGACGATTAATAAGCATAATATTTTCTATAAAATTCTATTTCCTTGGTGAAAAATTAACGGCAAGTGTGCTAAAAGTTCCAGCTGCCGCCGGCAGCCGGCTATTATTTTGAAGCCTGAGGATAATACCGGAAAACGATGTAGATTAAAGTATCCAATAAGGCTAATAAAAGAATTATAATCGAGTGCCACTACTGTCCGCCAAAGAGAAATTGTCATGCTTTTAAAGATTCCCACTTTTAAAGATTCCTTGTTTAAAAGCCTCCCGCTTTTAAAGATCCCCGTTTTAAAGATTCCCGCTTTTAAAGATTCCCCGTTTTAAAGATTCCCGCTCTTAAAGATTCTCCGCTATAAAGATTCCCGCTTTTAACGATTCCCCATTCCTCCATTCTCCCATTCTCCCATTCCCCCATTCTCCCATTCCCCCATTCTCCCGTTCTCCCATTCTCACATTCTCCCATTCGCCCATTCCCCCATTCTCCCATTCTTCCATTCCCCCATTCTCCCATTCTCCCATTCTCCCATTCCCCCATTCTCCCATTCTCCCATTCTCCCATTCTCCCATTCTCCCATTCTCCCATTCTCCCATTCTCCCATTCTCCCATTCTCCCATTCTCCCATTCTCCCATTCCCCGTTCGTTATTTTAAAGATAGCCACCACAACTGCGTCTTTAACCAGTCCCAAGCCGCTTGTAGCTCGATAGATTGCAAGATATGCTTGGCCACTGTATCACATTACTTCAGGGGACATGGCTACATGGAGGGGGCAAGAGGTAGCTTAAATAACGTGAGAAGACTTTGAGAATTTGTAACAACCTTTCAACATGGATGAGAAGACTTTCAAAGTTATCCTGAGTCAAAGACGGTGATCAATGGCGACTAAATTCGAACCCGATCATTTCGGCCTTCTATGCCACCTGGTAACTTTCTCAGATTGGCATCGTCCAAAGTTTGGACGGTTTGAATTTGAACCAACTGTGGATGCTCTTCGAAAAATACTTCCTTGGGAAACCAATTTTATTATTGAGCGCAGTGGAAGTTTAGCGGAAAGACTGTATTTACCAAGGCTGGAAGTGGCCGAGGAAAACGAAGGAAGTAGCGTTCGATATGGAACAGATCTTGATGTGATGTTCCTGCCACAACTAGCTGTAATCAAGGAAATTACTGAGTCTGATGAGGAAGAAAACAGTGTAGATGAATCAGTTAGCGATGTTGTTGCTTTTATTGAGAATGCAAAAGAACCGAGGTATGTAAAACTCCGTGTTAATACTGCTTGCCGGTGGAGTTTACCCGATGATGTTTTGGAAAGTGAAGGGGACTGTGTTTACGTATCAAGCTCTAAATTTTGCGACGTATTTCGGAAGAACTTGAACCAAGTTCAAGAAGTTGCAAAAGCAGCTGGACCTTCCTTGTTAGTCACAGAGCATTTGATTCAGGAATCCGGCATCAGCATGGATAGTGTGGATCTTGTCTTTGCTTTCCGTTGTCCCAATTGGCCTTCTGTTGCTGATGAATGGGCGAAAAGAAAACGGAACTGGCCACAACCAGAAGTCGTGCAGATGATTCTCCATCAAGGTTATGCCGTGGTCGCAAAAGGGTCTGGAGACAGCAGCGCTTCTCATCTGGAATGGAGGTTGTCATTTTCTTTTGCTGAAACAGTTCTGGCACAGAATCTGAATTCAGTGCAGAGGAAATGCTATCTGGTTGTAAAAGGTCTCGTGAAAGATCTCCATTGTGAAGGTATACCTTCCTACTGGGTTAAATGTGCCTTCTTCTGGTTCTTAGAGGAAGCAGACCCAGACATGTGGAACAATTCAAACCTTGGCCACTGTGTGCTCGGAGTAATTGAAAGGCTTACAAAATGTCTACAGAGTTACACGTTGCCCAATTACTTTGTCAAACAGAGGAATCATCTTCAAGAAATTTCCAAAGAATCTTGTGCAACCATTTCCAAGGAGTTGACACAAATCATGCAGAAGCCTGTCTTAGCTCTAGCAAACTCCCCTAAACTTACAAAATGCATTGAGTCAATTTTAAGTCAGGCACCCGAGAAGTATGGATACAGCACTCTCGTTGCACTTGTAAAGGAATTCTACAGCTCCCCAGATAAGAATGTTTTGAATGATTTTCTTAAATACCACCTTTACAATCTTGGCTTAGTGTTGATGAAAAATCCCAAAACAGCGCAGAAAGGGATAGAGTACATTGAGTGTGTTGTTCAAATTTGGAAAGGGACTGGAAAGCAAACAAATGCCTATGAATTACTGTGTGATTCAATAATACAATGCCTAAGACGCCATGATGATGGTGATGCAGAAGCAACTGCCTGCCTCTTGATTTCCATGAGGAGCCTGGGATTTTCAGATCAAGACATAATTGCAACACTGACGAAGGCCACCAACGGTATTGATCTTCCTGCCAGTCTATTCCAGAATGCTGGATGTTTCTACCATGTACAAGCATATGAAGATGATGTTACTGAACCTAATGGAGAGCTTCTAAACCATGCTGAGATAATGCTGAAAAAATCAGTGGAGTTGCAGCCAACCAATGCTTCTCACTACATAGAGCTTAGCATGTTTTTATACAGAAATGATCGTTTTGATGAAGCTATAGAGGCTGCAAAGCAAGGTATAACTTGTAGTAAGACCTCTAAAGTCTTGAAATACCTCGGTTATGGTCAAAGTGAGGAGATTACATTGGATGGTAACCTTGGTTACCATATTCAGCAAAATGACACTATTGAAGCTCCAGCCCTGATATTTGCATATTATGTCTTGGTAGCTTGTTTGGAGGAGTTGCATAGAGAGGATGAAGCACTAAAGTTCATGGACTCGTACAAAACAGCTTGTGGTGATCCTCGTAAAGCTATTGATGAAGATGATTCACTGGTGCTTTATAATTACTCTTGTTTATTGCTCAAGTTACCCGGAGTTTGACTTTGATTTAAGAGAGCTATAAAAATCACTGACAGTGACACTGTGAGTATGCAAACCAGAGCAATTTTTAGCTGAATGGCAATCACAAGTAGTTTTTTAGGATTACACTTTTTAGCTTAAGAACTTGCATTGCTCTCTAAACCAATCACATGCAAAACTGAATTCCTTCCCAGCTAGTGAGTACTCACCTATTTCAGCCCCCCCCCGGAAGTTTGCTTGTTTAAGCTTTGGAATCTGTTTGCCTCAATGCAATTTTTTTTTCTGTTCTGACTGGCCATTGTAATTTCTTTTGTTTTGGCTTTTACCATCACTCCCTTTAATTGGAAAGTATACCATTGTGTATGGCAGGCGAGGCGTAACCCTTTAATCCCTAAGAATGACTAGCAACTAACTTCTCAAGACCACCAAAATCATAGGAAATGATAAACAAATTCTCCTTGTCAGCACCCTAGAAAACATATGGAGAACAGTAAGGAGAATATGAATACTGATTTTAAGTGTAAAAAGTTAACCCTGCAATAGATTAGCATCCCACCCAATAGGGGTCAGAGGCAAGTTAGGGGAAAAATCTTTGTTGATCTAAGCCAATAAAATCTGGATAAGCTCTAGCAGGAACAGCCCTATGACTTATGCACTGATGTTACTTTTCACATGATTTCAATTTTTCAGCAGGGTTTTTTTCCTCAGAGCCGTCATAACTGTGTATAAACTCAACATTTTTTAATTGTTTACAAATTTGGACTCATTTCAGCCCCACCTTTTGGTATACAAAATCAGACCAGCTGAATTCCAAGGAAGATGTAGGACAAATGGACAAATGGGCAAATCTAGTGGGCTAAATAACTGTTTTTGTGGGTTGTTTAATACATATAAATGGAAAAGCCTGAAAACAAGAGAAAAATCCTAAAGAAAGTTTATCACAGAACAGCCTGAAAAATGTGTTATCATAAATTTTATCTAAAAAAAATTAGATCTTAACACAGGAAAACTGCTTATTAGAAATAAAAATATGATAATACTGGTATACTTGGAAAAAAAACCGTACTTAACCTTTTTACAAGGGGAGAAATATTTGATTTATTTATTTTGACTTATTATATCTCACACACCTATTACATTATTATTTTCTTTAAAGTATATTTATAACTATGGTACACTTAAATTAGCAGATAGCCTTTTCCCACTTTCAGAATTAGCAATTTCAAAAGTTCCAAAGTACCTACTATAGGTCCTATGTACCAAACTAACATCGAGAAACCCTTTCACCCCCTGGATCAATCACGGTGTAAGCTCTCCTTACCATTTGTTATACAGTTCTTTCAATGTGAATTTTGAGAAGGTGGTAGTAAATCAATGTTCTCTTTATCATGAGGTTGATCATTTTCTTTACTCTCATTACCTTTTGGCTTATAGATGTATTGTTTTTGTGAGGAGAAATTACTCATTTTGTCTCTCTTAAGAGAGCAATTGAGTGTCCAAATTAAACCACAATTGCACTAGTTTTGCTTTACTTCACTTAATGAATGGTCTAGAAAACTCTACACCCTCTCAATCAATTAAATGCCATAGCCTAAAACCAATTAAGACTTGGTGGGTAGCATTTTCCTGCATATCAGACAGTCTGCATGTTTTCAATTTCAGATTCCATTGCCTCTGTGTTATTATCTTTTGGTATGACAAGCCCCTGTGATAGCCTTAGTGTTGGTTTTTATGTCTCTTGAGTGGAAAGCCTTCAAATGACTTCAGCTTTGGTTTAAAAGACCTCATGCATAGTGTGCAATAGACTTATCAGACTCGATTTCACAGCCATTCATGATGCTCTCTATCTCCATGCAAGGCCATAATGTAGTAATTTTCATGTAAACTTGTGAGGTTGCTGTTTTAAAACTTGATCATGAAGGGCCAATAAGCTAAGAGTTTCTTATGGCCCACTTCTCACTGAAAAACATACACATTGACCCTAAAGCTGTCCTTTTTTAGCAGGACACTGGTCACAGACTCAGACCGGGTGATCCCAACGTCTTGAAGCCACGGGTCTCCTACTTCCTGAACAGTTGCTATAGACACCCATACCACTGGCTCGGCAGTAGTGTTTGGTATCACTTCCCTTGAATTCAGCGTTGCGACAGTTACAGGCTAAAATTTGAAAGTCTGGTACCCAGTAACCTGGCCTTGCTTTGTTTTTTAATTTTTAGATTTGGAGACAACAATCTGATGTACATTGGGATTTTCAAGTTACAATTCCTGATTTTAAGGATTTGTTAACATTACTTTGTTGTCAACTTTTAAGATTTATGAGAATGGTCATATCGTATTTACCACCTAATTTTTGCAGATTATGTCTGTCTCGTTACCATTCTTTTCCAACTCGTGGTACTTTGTGTAATGTAGCGTATCGTAGTTTTATCAATTTCTTAATTTTGTTCTTTCCTACGGGAGTGTGTCATTTAATTTTTTTTCCCTTACACAAGACCAGAGGAACTAATCCCTCATGATTATGTTTGGTCCTTAGAATGTGTGTTTTTTTATATTTAGATTTTTTTAATTAGGGATCTTTTTTATGTTTTCAGATCAGTTCCCATAATTACATGTCTACTTTATGTGCACTCTATATGACAGATAGAGGTTATTTTCAAGATTCGATCTTAAGTCTTTCTCAAGCTTTAATCATTAGAAGATTTAGAATGGAATATTATGTAATTTAAATATCTTTTTGTAGGGAATTTCAAACGAGTTTTTTTCAAGCCTATGATCAATCTCCTGACACTTTATCAATTTCTTTTTGATGTTCTCAGAAAACAGAATCTTTAGACATAGATTAGGAATAAACGCAGGTGTCTTGAAAACAAGGCGCTTAGACCAAGTGTATTGTCATAGCAATTTATTCATGCCAGTTCATTTATTTTCTGTTTTATAGCTACCACCTTCGACCCTACTTTTTTGGCCAGCTTTTTCATATTCATTTATATGGTGTTTTTCTCTTTCTTAGATACATCAAAACTATGCAGACAGAGATGCCATCTATTTGTTCTTTAGTAATTTAAAAATGGTTTTAAGGGTAGACGGTATCAATATAGTTATACAGTTTCAAGAATTAGATTTTTTGAATCGTGTAGTTTCACTATATAACATAAGACAATTTTTAGATTGTTTTCATGATATGCAAGAAGGAGAGTTATACCCATATGAATGGTTAGCCATTATGTGGTCAAGCAATGACCATGAAATTAATTTTTATACAATTTATTTTTAGACTGAATTTCCATTGGAAGACATTGTGGATTTTTTTGAAACATTAAAATCATTATTATGGTGGCATGATATCCAAGATGAAATCTGTGTCCTTTTTAATCAGTTTAGGTTTTTTATGATTGTCACCCATATTTATAATATTATACCCTTAATAAGTTCTGGTTTCGTCGAGTATGATGAAGAAGATGTAGCGCCACCTATATAAGGGGATTATATATGGTTAACCACCAATTACCACAGAGATACTCATAAGGTCATACATTTTTTCTTGATTGTATTCCTCAATCATCCTTTTTGTGACGTTAGATTTTTTCAACTTTTTAAGAATAAGTATCCCTTTATGGATTGCTACAAATTTTCATTTACGCTATGGATCTTTTTATATCATCAAGATCCCGAGGATGAAATTTTGGTCCTTTTAAACCATTTTGATTTTTTTATGAATGTCAATTACGTTTATAATGTCATGAACGTTATCTGTTTCAATTTTGTCCCTTATCAAGAGGTACCACCATATCTAGAGAATTGTACATGGTTAGATACCATTCCCAACAGAAACAGTCATAAAATTTTTCATTTTTATTGTATTTCATTTGTATAACAATAAACTTTACATTGGTTTTTACATGTGTGTTGTCTTATCTATGATCTAACTCGTGAAATGCAGAAAAAAAGCCGTCTGCTATTTCTTTATCCCAGTTAGTATAGTAAATACATCGTTCGTTTCCATAGGGGTGGTAAATGTGTCGCAAGGCATCGCGGAATATAATGTCATGATGTCTCTCCCGTAATTTCAACCCCTGAATTTCTTTCTGATACCTTTCCACATCTTGTGCATGTTTCGATGCTTGCTGACGAATCTTGCGCTGAAGGCGACGCACTTTTTTCCCATGCGAAGATCCTCCCATCTTCTATAAACACTTTTAACACACGAAACAGGTTTCTCATGCGACGGCGTCGTGTTTTCTTGGCCCTCTTAGACATGTGCATCCAAGACGGTCACTTAGATTTGTGAATATAGAAATTCTCTCTCCTGTTTTTACCTTGAATCTCATACCAACGTGATGAATGTTTGACGGTTGTCATGGCTTTAATTTCACCCACCAATTGAGGCACGCTTTCCTCACAATTTTTCCAACTGTCGTAGGCTTTCATGACATCCTCAAACTCATGCCCCCATTATATTCTTGGATCCTCTTTACCAAACGGACCAGATCAAACCAGTGTGTAAATATATACATTTGCCTATGAGCTTCCACGGGTGACGCATAATGTTGTAGTTTATCCAAAATGGTTTCGTGAATTACTTCTTCACAGAACCACTCGTAATCTTCGCGACCTGTAGGATCCCCATGGTGGCGTTTAGGAGTGTCATCTTGACCTTTAAAGACTTCGCGTAAAACATTTAAAAACATCCAGATATTGTGGTAATCTTGGACACGCGAGACCATGCAATGTCTTGTGCTTTACTTTTGTACAAATGTGATGTGAATTAGGAGATATCCATTCGTTCTTCATTAACAAGCTGACATAATGCACAATTACAATGGGGACATTGTAGGGTAGGATAGGGTGTAAAATACCAACACTGAGAACCCAGTGCATGCTTGATAACGCACAGACAGCAAAATTTACTATCCTGATTTACTTTATAACCAAAATAAAAGAAAATTGACTGTAACAACTTATCTAAAGACTTATTACATCTATAATATTGCTAATCACTTCAATTTTTTGCATTTTGGTATGTCAAAAATTATTATCACACACTACAAAATTTTTCCTAAAAAACTTGAAAAATTGACATTACAGATGAGTAATTTACTAGTCAACAACTACCACTGAACTTTCCACTTTAATCGAAACAAGCGTATTTTTAATAATAACATGGACAGTTTATTCTTTAGATCTGTTGAAAAATTTACTCCAGAATTATGATAAGTTCAGATAGTTCTGGTGGCTTTTCTTTGTTGCCAGAGCATCGTTCAGCATTGAGATCAGTTTGATTTCGTCTTTCCCATTCCTGGGGAAATCTTCTGTATTTATTCTAGATTGCTGTGTGGCTCATTCACTTCAAAGAAAACGAAAGCCTCAAACAGATTGGAATACTGACTGTACTGTACAAACACAATGTTTGGAAGTTTGCAGTACCGAGTGACAGTATCACTGGTTCTTGCAAGTGGAAATGTAAGATTTCTGGAAGTGAATTTGTTTCATAGAGCATCATTTGGTAAGTATGCTAAGGATATCAGCATAAAATAAAGATCGCAAACAAGAATAGCAGCGCTGGTTTTAACTTAAAAATAACCTTTTGGAAGGTTGTCACCTGTAGAGTATTCATAGGTCAAGTGACTTCTCTCATTCTGGCTCAAATGCAACTGTCCTTTACTCAATGATCAATATATTTGCCATACAATACTCGTAATTAGTTATTTTACTTTTACTTATGAGGGTAGATTTACAACACGATTAAGTAATACAACGTGCCTTTACAGTGGTAACGCTATATAACGCAATACACAACAGCACCTCTTAAAGAACGCTAAAATGCGCTTTTATTGGTAACTTTGCTTCTTTCGAGAACAACAAATCTCTTGGGTATCAATTAAGTCGATATGCAAAAGTACCACTGTTGTGAACAAACAGAAAGCCGGTCGCTAGAGGGATTTTGCCAAAATCCCTCTAGCGACCGGCTTTTTGTTTGGTTGTTGGCATGCAAATCTTGAGCGACATTTTTAAAACAATACAACGATTCCAGTTCATGCGAGAATATTTCCAATTTCGCTTATGCAAACTCCACCAAAAGAAGCGTTCCAATCTAACACAGGTTAGTGCGTTTCATGCATGAGATATACAGGAAGCCATTCAGAGGTAATATTGCCTTGAAATTTAAAGGAAACTACATATCGAGGGTCACGTACAGCAGTGACCAAAAGGTTTCTCCCAAAGCATTGTGATTTTCGACATCTTATTTCAATGTTTTTATGTCCGAATCTTTCTTTTGAATGTCTGGCGAGCTTTGTTTTAACGCGACTAAAAACGTTTCAGATGGAACAGGCTGAGAATCAACGTGCCTATTTGAAGCTCGACAAAAAAGAATGAACGCGAACGTTAATGAATCGCTTTTAATAAACATGAAACCGACATCAACTAGTACCACATAGGTACTTGCCACTTTTACTTACGAAGTGAATGGTCGGCTAGGTTTCAATCTATTTCTAATGGGAACAAAACAGCTGGCTGATGGAAGAAGTTTTTCAGTTGTGCCGTATTTGAAACTTTCGTATCCACACGATGGAGTGGAAAAGGGTTCAGTACGAACACATTCAAGTAGCCGCGTGATTTTCCTTGATGAGAATGGGGATAAAATTACAGAAGGGGACAAAGAAGTACCTTCTTTGAAGGAACAAGGCCAGAGGACCTCAAAGGAAGCAAAGGCAAGAAGAGGTAGTGCTTTGTTGGTTAAAAGACGAAGTGTATCGCTGGACGCAGCGAATTTCATGGCATATTATGTGAACAGGAGAAACAGCAGCCTACGTCGAGACCACTTCTTACGATCGTTTGGTAAAACAACTCTCAGGTATCCAAACTTAAACGACGAAGATATCGAGGGAGATGTTTTTAATGGGAAAGCTGCTCCACCGTACATAGAAGATAGAGAAACGCCTTTAAACGAGTCCGTAAAGTCTTTCCTAAGAAGAACTGCATCTGCCAGCCCTGTCTTAGTTCGTCCAGCTTCAAGCAAGAAACCCTGCTCTTCTACCCCGGTAAAAAATTTGCTCGAACTCAGAGGTTCTACATATAACGGGGAACCCTCTTGCAGTGATTTAACGGCAAAGATACGAAAGCAATCGGCAAAGAGACGAATTAAGCGCATTATGGAAGCAGAGAAAGAAAAAGCAGAGAGAGAAAAAGCGGAGGAAGAACTGAGATTGAAAGAGCAAGAGAAAAAGAAGAAAAAGAAGACTTTTCGAGGCGCAGCTCTTGCACTCATGGTAACGAACGTTTCCGCTGCAGGATTCAACTTTAAATCTTTCTCAGAAAAGAAAAAATGGCTCGCTGAGAAGAGGTTGTGGACCAGACAAATAGTAAGTGTAATTTATCTGCCCCTCCACCACCCCCCTATCTTTCATTGTAGCATGGCTTCATTGAATGCTATCCAACCGTAGCATTTAAGATAACAAGTCTAAAAAGGATAGCTAAGATATCCGAGGATTGTAACAAGAAATTATTGGCCTGAAAACTATTTAAGAATGTTGATAAATTATAGTTTGCCAAATGGTAAAAGCGTGAAAGAGGTATGATTAAACTACAATGTTACAAGAATGGTTGAGAAGGGAAGACTAACACGGATTGCACTTGAAATGTAGAACTTTGTTCTACATTTGCAATCCGGAGAAAAATACTTTCTTCTTTTATAATTTAATATTTGAAAATTCCGGGGAAAATATTTAATATGTATATGCCTTGATTTTGCTATAGAAAATTGTGTCTGCAGAAGATTAATACAGAAATCAGGCAAATGCTATCCGGCGAAATTAGAGTAAATGTAAAAAATAATCATTTCTTGCGATGGAATGCTTTTATGCAGTAAATTATTGTTTATAATCATTTTTATAGGCGAGTACTAAATTCCGTTGGGCCGTTCGCGTGGTTGTGGTTCTCGGCCGTGTATTAAAGGCATTAGTATCCTACTCCACCGTTATGGTACCAGAGACTGCGGCTCAGAGGTCCTTTCGTACCCTGCGTGATAATTCAGAAGTCAAGGAAATGTTATTTAACAAATCATTGTATCAAAGGGGAAAATCGGTAAGGTGACTCATTTATTTTTCTCTCAACATGATCGTTTGATTAAATTCAGCTGTTGGATGTTGAATTCTTCCAATATTGCAATTTCCAAATAAAGGCTATGTTTGCCTCGCAAAGGTGGAGGGTACAAAATAACTTTAATAGAGTGTAAAAGCACAGAACTTTGGCTGATTCGTCAGTGACTTTAGCTATCAGTTGAACTAAAATATCGTTAGGTCCAAGGTTTCCAGAGAAATTGACTACGTTCTCTATGGACATCTTTGCAGTCATCTTATTGATAGGTTATTTCAATTGAAAGATGAGGTGGCCGACGAGTCTACCTTGGTAGATTAATGATAATAACTTTATTTATCCTGATTAAAGACCGGTCAGTCAATCAATAGTGATTGACTGGTATCAATCGGTGACCAGAAAATATACATAAAAGTCGATGAAAAAAAATATAAAGCATGCAGTTTACAATTGAGTAATAAAATATATTTAAGAATTATTAAATAAAATCTACGTTTAACTTGTACAAATGTGATTGGAGCTGGTAAGTAAATGTTTTGCCCTAAAACTGTGCAAGTGTTGTGAAATCACGTATATCTCTTGGCAGTTTGTTCCAGGCACTCGCAGCTGAGAACTTAAACGAGGTCTGTCCACATTTAGTCTTAACTTGTGGTAGATCTAATAATGTTGGATCTCTGAAGGATCGACAATGTCTTTGTGATCGTTTCATTGAGTACCCTGTCAACTACTTAGGGCAGTTAATGTTGTTAATGGCGTAAGTCGGTCGTGATTGGTCGGTTTCGATCCTGTCGGTAAAGCTAGGTCGATCTCTTCTGTACGTTTGTAATGTTAATGTCGTGAAAAAATCGCTTGTATGGTGTCGGAAGTACTTGACAGTACTTTAGGGGTGTGACATCTTATTTAGTTCACCAGCTTTCCAGAGTCAGTTGTTGAAAGTAGTTAGTGCTATAGGTTAGGCATTGCGAAGAGTCCTAGTGAATAATGTGGTGCGTAAGTCGATAATCTTCAGCGATGTGATTATTGACATCACCTTTCCCGCCCGCTTGTGCTCAGTCAGTCTCGTTGTGAGGTTTCTGTCAGTCTCTCCGAAAGAATGGATGCTTGGCAGTCGAAGAAAATGATCTTATAAACCGCTCCTTTGGTCGGTTTCGATCCTTTGGCGAGGTGAGGTCGTTCTGTATGGTTCGTTTGTAATGTTCATGTGATGGGTATAGTGCCGGTAGTAGTTGACAGCTGTTGAGGGGAGTTTCTTCTAAGTTAGTAAACCAGCTTTCCAGAGTCATTTGTCGAAACGTCAGTCAGCGCTACTGATAACAGTCCTTTTCAGGATAACACTCGCCCGGACGATCAGACTACACTATCACAAGCTTTCTGTTAGCAAATGAAAAACCAACTATCTTATTTCCAGATCTGGGCAAAAGAACACCTGTAGCAATGCTTGATCGTTTGAAAATAGATCAACGTTGACAATCGATTTCAAATTCGATTGTTGTGTTAGTACCTCCCGCACTTTTAAGTTTCACTTTCATTTGCTATTTACGTTAGTATCTAGCCCACTTTTAGGATTCTCCTTCATTTTATTGTTACATTAGTGCCTTAAAAAATTTAAGGATTGTTCAACATTTGATTTTAATGTTGGTATCTTGTGCACTTTAAGGATTCTCTTTCATACGATTGTTACTTTAGTGTCTCTCACACTTTTGGGATTTTATTTCATTTGATTGTTGCAGTGGTATCTTTCTCACTTTTAGGATTCCCTTTCATTCGATTGTTGCGGTATTATCCCGCGCACTTTCAGGATTCTCTTTCATGCAATTGTTAAGTTAGTATCTCGCGGACTTTTACGATTCTCGTTCATGCGATTGTTACGCTAGTATCTCCTAAACTTTAGGATTGTCTTGCATTGGATTATTACGTTATAGCTTGCGCACTTTTAGGATCCTCTTTTATTGGAATGTCACGTTAGATTAACGCGCTTTTTTAGGATTCTCTTTCATTGAAAATTTTTTCGTCAATATCTCGTGCGCTCTAAGTACTCTCTTTCATCGATTGTTTCGTAATTATCTGGTGAATTTTTAAGATTCTCTATCCTCAATTATGCGTCATGTCATATCTTACATACTTAAAGATTTTCTTTTATTTGGCTGTTATGTTTGTTGCCAGCTAATTTCTGGCTTTTTGATTCATTCGATTGTTAGTTTGTATTCGCGAACTTTTAGGATTCTATTGAATTTGATTGTTACTTTACTTTAACTATTCTCCTTCATCGATGGTTAGTATCTTACGCACTTTTATAGGATGCTTTCATTGATTTGTTTTTTATCACGTGCACCTTTTAGGATTCTCTTTCACTCGATTTTTACATTATTATCTCCCGCACTTTTAATTTTCACTTTCATTTGCCCAATCCTAGGATTCACTTTCATCCCGTCGTTAAGTTAGTATCTCCCGAACTTTTAGGATTGTCCTATATTTGATTGTTAAGTTGGTATCTCGTGCACTTTTAGGATTAACCTCACTTGTTGGTATGTTTGTTGCTCTTGAACTTTTAGGGTTCTCTTTCACTGAGTTGTTACTTCAGTATCTCGCGCATTTTTTAGCATTTTCTTTCATTTGATTGTTCCGTTGGTATCTTTTGCACGTTCAGGATTTTCTTTGCGTTAATATTTCGAGTAGGTTATGGATTATCTTTCATTTGATTGTTACCTTAGTATCTAGCGCATTTTTAGGATTATCTTTCGTTCAGTTTGATTGTTACCTTAGTATCTCGCGCACCTTTAGGATTATCTTTCATTCGATTATTACGTTATTATCTTGCCCACTTTAATGATGCTCTTTTTTATCGCTTGGGACATTAATATTACTCGCATTTTAACGATTCTCCTGGCTTTATTTGTTTGTTACGTTAGTATCTCGCGTCCCTTTTGGATTCTTTTTCATAGGAATGTAACGTTAGTATCTCGTGCACGTTTAGGATTCTCTTTTTTATTTGATTATTACGCTAACATCTTACGCACGTTTCAAGTTAAGGATTTTCTTTCATCTGTTGTCATGCTGGTATCTTGGATACTTTAAGGATTCTCCTTTTTTCGATTGTTGCATTAGTATCACCTGCATTCATAGTTACTGCCCAGCCTTTTTATCGTTATGTTAGGATCTCGGTCACGTTAGTTTTCCCGCACTTTTAATATTGGTCTCTCGTGCAATTTTAGGATTTTCTTTCATTCGGTTTTTACGTTAGTATCTTGCCCATGCACTTTTAGGATTCTCTTTCCCTCGATTGTTATGTTGGTGTTTCGCGCACTTTTAAGATTATCTTTCATTTGGTTGCCATTTTAGTTGCTCGCGCACTATTTCATTCGATTGTCACATTCATATTTCGCTTATTCTTTCATCGATTGTTTCGTTAGCATCTTGTCCACATTAGAGATTGCTTTCATCGTTTGTGACATAAATATCGAGTGCACTTTAATATTCGTTGGTATCTTGCGTAATTTTAGGTTTCTCTTTCATCCGTGTGTTACCTTAGTATCTCGTGGAGGTTTTCGATTCTGTTTCATTCCATTGTTGTGTTTGTATCTCGCCCATTTTTTGAGATTTTCTCTCTTATTCGATTGTTACGTCAGGATCTCGTCTATTTTAAGGATTCTCTGTACTGGATTGTTTCTTCAGTAGCTCGTGCCTTTTGAGGATTCATTTTTATGGATTCTTTGGTCAGTATCTCGCGTTTCAAGGATTTTCCTTCATCGATTGCTTCATTTAAACCTCGCGCACTTTTAAGATATTCTTTAGATTGTTTGTTAATATATTGTGCACTTTTAGGATTCACTTTTATCGCTTATTTTTTTAGTATCTCGTGTAATTTTAGGATTTTTTTCATTTGATTGTTATCTAAGTTGCTCGCGAACTACTAGTTCTCAATTTTCATTTCATCGTCTTTTAGTATCTCAGTTACTTTTAGAATTTTCTTTCGTCGGTCTTTCCCATAGTGTCTTTCGAACCGTTGGGGTTCTTTTTCTTTCGACTGTTACGTTAGTATTACACGTATTTTCCTTACTGTCCTTCATTTGGCTTGCTATTTTAGTACCTCACGCACTTATAGGATTCTATTTCTTCTGGTTATGTTAGTGCCTCCTTCATTATCAAGAATATCTTCCATTTGATTTTTTGCGTTAGTATCTCGCAAATTTTGGGGATTTTCGTTGGTGATTCTCCCATTTTTAGGATTTTTCTCATCTGTTTTCGATTTTCACGATAATATCTCGTGCATATTAAGGCTTCTCTGTCATCCATTGTTTCGTCAGTATCTCGCGAATTTTTAGAATTCTTTTTTATAGATTTATGCGTTTGTGCGTCGCCCAGTTGTAGGATCCTCTCTCATCGACCATTACGTCGCAGCTTTTGGATTTCTTTCATTGACTCTTACGTTAGTGTGTCCTGAAATTTTTAGTATTTTCTTTAAGCGATTGTGCGGTCAGTATCTTGTGCATTTTAGGTACTCTCTTTCGTCGATTTTTTTGATATCTCGCGCACTTCATAGATGGCCTCTTTGAGTATCTCTGGCAATGTTAGGATTTTCTTCCGTATTGTATCTCGCACATTTTTAGGATCATCTTCCATCAATTGTGATGTTGATTTCTTGCGCATATTTAGGATTCCCTTTCCTCGATTGTGCAGTTTTAGGATTCTCTTTCATCGATTGTTACGTTGCACTTGTAGGATTTTCTTACCTCAAATTGTTACGTCAGTATCTCCTTACGTTTTAACATTCTTTTTCATCTATTGTCACGCGTACTTTTAGGACTGTTATTTGTGATGGTTACGTTAGTATGTCGCCCAGTCTTTGGAAATTTTTCGTATTTATTGTTATGTTTGTATCGCGCTTTATAAGGAATGCGTTACATTTGATTGTTACGGTAGTAAAGCGTGCACTTTTATGATTCGTATATACGCAGTTACCTGGTAAATCGACAGAACTGTTTCACAAACTCTTTCTTTGTGCCCAATTTTGTCCGCTATGTTTTAAAATAATTGGTTCGTGCTTTTAGCCATGCGTATATCAAAAATGGTCATGAATGCACTTGGGAAGTTTGGAGAACACTCAAGACCTTAAAGGTGTTCTCGGCTGCGTCTCGGGTAACTCTCCGCTTCTCTCGTGCTCTCCAAACTTCCCACCTGCATCCACAGCTCGATATACGTACGCTAAGCATGGATCAATTCTCGAGTAACACAGGAAAAAGCAAAACAATGCTACAAGAAACAAGAAAAATTATAATAATAAACGTGTGAATAAATAAGAATAAAACTAAAAGAAAAGAGATAAATCTAAGTCTTTTACTGTAAGTAAAACAGAATGATAATGTTGTAATTCGTATTTTCTGTAATAGATCATAGATGACATCAAAATGCGGTAAGAACGAAAAAAGAATAAAAGGGGCACACGAAGTGCTGTTACTAATGTTTTCACGCACTTTGGCATCTTTTGTAATATAATACTGTTAAGACCCACGGCAATATAAAATCTAATTGTTAAAAAATAAAATCTAATTGTTAAAAAATAAAATCTAACTGTTAAAAAATAAAATCTAACTGTTAAAAAATAAAATCTAATTGTTAAAAAACGAAAATGTTTTTTATAGTGACGTCATCTTTGCTCTTGTTCTTTAAAACATCATAAGTAAGAACCAATCAAAATGCGTGTATCAAAGGGGTAAGTTTTTAAAGAAAGTGAGGTGCTGCTTGGGTGGGGGAGTATAACAGGTTAAGAACCAATCAAAGAGCGTGTATCAAGGGGGTTAGTTTCTAAAGAAAGGGTGGTGCTGTGTCAGCGGGGGAGTATAACAAGAACATTTTGGTTTCATCATCAGATAACAAAGGGCTATCGCTGATACATCTTAGGGCCTGTTTACATGGAGGTGGGAGACCCTAGGTAGGTGAGGTAACCCACCTAGCCGTGGTCGAAAAATAAAACGCGTTTACA